AGAAGGACTTGTAGCTTATACTGCAAGTACTAACTGTTCAGGGTTTTTTCTCATAAATATGATAAATCATTTTTCACCAGCCATTTTGTTGCCATCTCAAGTCAAAGGTCTTGATTGCATCTTTTTTAGTTTGGCCAAATTATATGTCTGCACATCTAATTAAATATTTGGATAGCTCACGCTCTTGTTCCTATTTAAAGACTCGATTGTGAGTCTTATATCCCATTTATTGATTTTCATCGCCACCAGTCGTATCTCGTTTATACCTCAACAGGGAACAATGGTTCAGTCCAATATTTTCTACTGCTGTTCTTAACCAAGATTCGGTTTTTACACCTTCATAGGCTTGTTTGTACATTGATAAGTCGGCCTGACCTCTCGTAGTCTTCCTTTGGTGTACCTTGGCATCTAAGAAACAATAAAATGAAATAAATAAACTGTTTCAACCGTACCCACAAAAAATGTTTCAACTGTCCCCAACCCCCCTTCTAGGTATAAAACGGTTCACAGTAAGAATGATAATAAATTTGAATAAAAACTAATCATACAGCCATATTCTACAAACTTCAAATAAAACGATACAACACTCTGAATACTCTAACTTTGATAAAACCATAATAATTGCAAAAAATGTACGAGCAGAAAATACTTACTTTTCCGTCAAAAAACACTATGGGGCCTCCTATACATATGCACAGCGCGCGAAAAGCGACGGAACACTAAAATTCATGTTTGGACTTGTCTCCCGCTTCGTTCTCCTTTTGCACCCCTCACCTCATCACGCACGGTGTCGAGATATTAGCTTTGTTTCAACCGTCCACCGTTTCAACCGTACCCAGTCTACCCTACATATATATATATATATATATATATATATATATATATATATATATATATATATATATTTATTTATTGAGATATATTTTATATGTGTGTATATTTTATGTATGTGTTGCATGTATATATTTGAACTGAATTATATCATGACAACTTAACTGCCCAAACTCACTCTCTGTTCTACACAAGTTTAGCTGGTAGAGAATGCCATAGAGCATTAAACTCGCCTTTTGTACAAATATTTAGTGCAATAAAGAATAAATAAATAAATAAATATAGGTTTAACCGTCACCCACTCAGTATTTGCGACTGGGGTGGCCCTTGAACCACCCTAAAGATGCGTACTTTATAATGATATAAAATATAAAATTGAAAGAATTGAACTTGTTAATTTAAAAATTCAAAAAGTATAAGTCAAAAGTATTTTTGACTAACATTCTTTGTCAACATAATATGCTTATAATTATTTCCCTAAATTACTCTAGTAAGATATTATATCACTAGATCGTACTTATATCATGTCGATGAAATTTGTTCGCTTATATTATACCGATCGTTCTGAATAACTCATAACTCTATATTTGCAAGTCGCCGCGCCGTTTTCAGTATTTGTGTTCGCCCTCAGTCTTTCCCCCATTTAGTATTTCAGTGCGCCATAATCAGTATTTTGACACCCTTAATTTGAATTTATATACGGTTGTTTAGTTATCACCCTTATTTATTGTCCACAAGGTTCTCATTATCAATGTGGTAATGATCAAATGTGTCGAGTGTGTTTGATTGCATTGCATACCTTAGAAACTCCAAACGGTATTTGTTTGTCATATAAAATTTAGCACCAACCTTGGCACATCCTGATAGGGATGTAGAGGCAATGTATGAGAACATTTCTGGAGCCATGCATTTCTTCTAAACTCTCTTAATAAGATGTCGAAGGAAGAATTTAACGCAAAACTAAGCACAAGATATGACCAAAGAATATATATTATTATTACTACGTAATATGACGGTGAGCAACGGAGCCTAAGGGCACAACCTATTTCATGGCGAACTTTCAGTCCTGATGCTTTAAAAAAATGAAATTTATTTTATGACGACCAGCCGACATTATTCATATCAATATTCACTCATGTCTCAATGATCTGGAGGATGAAAAGTTGTAATGATCACCAAATTGTCAGAGGCACACTAAACCTTAGCGTTCAGTTGGAGAGGTAACCTCTAATGAAGGCAACGCTCCGTTCCACTCGTGCTTTAATCCAAAGGCACGAAAACTTTCAAGTCCTTCTCAGTGCCAAAGAGACAAAATAAACGACAAGCTAGTGAGAATTGTCCATGATCTAGGAGCTCAGTGGAACAAATTACGACACTTCTTCTTTTTTTATAGGATAAGGGTGAGAAACGAGCACACAGTCCACCTGATGGTAAGTACTTGCTGTGGCCCATAGACATCTACATCTATCTTCGTTTGCGAATTAAAATACAGATGCGTTGTCAGCCGTGAGGACTATGATAGAATGCCACATTTCCAGTAAAAAGGGTCTCCGGTTCTCTACACCACTATACGAAGCACTATTTTACGCTGGTATTCTGTGAGAGCGTGGTCCTTCCCCAGTCGAACCGACCCATTCGTGCTACAACTACACTACTAAAGCATGGCTCTACCACGTAAAAAACTTTAAAAAAACTTTACGTATTTTTCAAAAACTTAGAACAACCAGTTATAACAAAATAGTGTACAACCAGTGCATGTTGACAGGGATTACCAACATAAAATGGAACTGAGATGTGGTCCATTACTGTTGGGATACTTTAAGTTACTCAGGGAGTTATGGAGAGGGCTATGGTGAGAGTTTCCATAAAGCGCAGTAGCACCAGAGTAATCGACGTGGCTCAATGGATCAATAAGAATTAAGAAGTGGCATTTGTCCGGCCATAGCTTGACGAACCGGCAACCGATGGGGAGAAAGCTTCACAATACGCGAGTAACCCGGGCTCGATCCGCACCAATTTACAATTTTAGTGCTGATTTACAACGTGTTGGGCGGTGAAGAACTTCGTGAGGAAACTGGCATGTCTGAGAATTAAAAAAAAATGTATTTGGAAGACGTGAAGTCCGCCAACACGCGATAGCGCGGTGGAAACTTCCTTACCCTAAAACTTTCTAAGAAATGAGGGGTCATGTGCCCAGGAGTGGGATGTATTAGGTTTTAATTAAATTAACGTTTAGCAAATGGGATCTTACTTTGGCTGATTCATAAAATGTTTTAATTTTTAATTCTTAATTATATTAAAAATGTAACCTCCACACTAGGATTTCTCCCGTATCGTAGAGGGCAGTGTACATACATGAATTTCACAAGGACAAATATCCAGATCCGGAACAATTATTTGTAAGACATACTAATAGTTTTTCCGTGCGGGATTCGAACCCGCGGCCCTTACCGCTGCAACTCATTACTAAGCTACTGCGCCACAGAGCCGTCTATTTCGTTTTATATTTGTAATCAAAACAATTATATACCTCCTGCAGTAGCAAAAACGCCAGCAGTAGTATGCGAAACTGTTGTAGTTAGTAGCATTGAGTGTTTGTATAATTGTAATCACATAAATGTAAATAGTATATTCAAGTTATTCAAAATTAGGCACATATGACATCAAATGTCGATGTATAATGATACTTTGACATTTTGGTACAATAACACTTTGGCCTCATTACAATCAGCAAATAGATGGCCTCGATATTAGATGCTAGTAATCAAGAACAGTTTGCTTTTGAATACTCAGCATTGGTTCGGTTTGTTTAGGTGCGTCAGCGTCACTATCAGTTGAATGAAGTTTCTACATATACATAGGTACATTTGTATGCCTCTACTCTCTACACTTTAAATATGTTTTAATACAGCACGCAAACCATGCCGCTGCTATGTTTCGGAGACCCTTCTTACTAGATATTCATTGCATTCCATCTTAATCCTCAGGGGTGAACAACGCATCTGCAATAAATGCAGATGTCTATGGGTCACAGTAGCCACTTACCATCAGGTGAAATGTGTAATAATTGCGTCCTAGACGCCGCAAAAGGGCGAACCACAATTTTTTAAGAAATTACGGGCGAGCAAGAAAACATTTATTATTCCCCGATTACTAGCTTTTTTCATCGGAAAATTAAATGTTATATTAGAATTAATGGAAAACTACAAATAAGATTAATTTTAAACGAGAACGGGAGGCTCGGGTCCAGTAGTACTTTTACGACTTGTTGAAGAAGAATTTTCTTAAGGGTACTTAACCTTAGGTCGCCCTATATATAATGTACTCTGTGCCTTGTGTTATGCCCTGTTGATGTCATTAATATATTTAATGCGTACGTTCTCAATGTGCCGAAGCGTCCAGACTGTCTTTTTACCTCTAAAATTATTGTGGCACACAATATTATTAATGTATATAACGTTAATTTAAAAGGAAGTAACACACTAAGTGCACCATAGTTAACCATAATGACAAAAAGTGTCCCATGTTGGTTTGGGTTATACCTATAGGTCCCATGTTTATGCGGGACTTTTAATAATAAAGAATGTGCCAACAATGTGGGACAATATAATGGGATATTGGGTTTACAATGGAGGAGGCAATGGGCTAGTCTTAGGGGAACTTACCCTACTTTTAAATATTTCATTTATACCAATATTGTTTTAACCTCCGACGCAAAGAGAGGGGTGTTATAAGTTGGACCGCTATGTGTTTGTCTGTCTGTGGCACCGTAGCTCTTAGACGGGTGAACCGATTTGGGTGCGGTTTTTTTTATTTAAGAGGAGGTTTTCTTGGGGTAGTTCTTAGACATTTTATCAAAATCGGTTCAGCCGTTTGGGATCATCAGCTCTTTTTGTTTCGGGGGTTTTTATAATTTTCAATTTAAGTTATTTGACTAAACGTGGCTGGCAGCTCTTTGGACTTTGCCTACCCTCTCGGAGATCATAGATGTGATGAAGTATATATGACCAAAAGTACTGGGTATAGATTAGATACACGTGAATATACGTTTCTAGCCACGTAGCCGTCCAGAAGTTGTTAAATAACTAAAAATATTCACTATACCTATGTTCTTAGGTCAGTACGTTTTAGCCTGTTTAAAATAATATATATCATAACTCCATTTTCAGGTGACGTAATAGTAACAATATTGCCAATTATCGAGACTGAGAATCTGCAAAAGGAAGATATTCCAAATTTGATGGAAAAAACACAAATACTGATGCAAGAAGAATTCACAAGAACCTCTGCTGAGACAAAACCAAGACTTTCTCTTTAAGATGATAAGGATATTATGTAAGTTGAAAAGTTTTGATTTAACTTGGGCCACCGAGAGAATTTCGATTTGGCATGTTAGATCGACATAACTATTGATGGGTAGGTAAGTGTGAGGTGAGGCCTCTTTCTTGTGGAAAGATGTTGAGATGACTAACGAAAGTTCCCTTGGACAGCAATAGCATTTAGAATGAACAGGCTCCGGAAGGAGGGCGAATTAGTTTCGGGCGAAGTAGTCAATTCTGCCGGTGTGTTCTGAATTTACCACTTGAACTAGCTTTTTGGAAGGACCTGGAGGCAGAATTCAACTTCTTTTTTGGGGCTCTGGTGTTTACGTTTTGGGAAGCTTAGGCCTGGTAACGGTTACGCATATGGCGTAATGCTTTTTTTTTATATAAATAGGGTGACAAACGAGCACACAGTCCAAACGGTGGTAGAGCCCTGCAGCAGTTTTTAGCTGTTGCACGTATGGGCCGGCTCGAGCCGGGTTGGTACCACGACCTCACAGAATACCGGCGTGAAGTAGAGGCTCTGCTTCTGCGTTTCGCCTGGTGAGTGCAGGTGGCCGGAGGCCCAATTCCCCCCCCCCCCCCCCATCAACATGGTAGCGGAATTAGACAATAGACTACCCCAGGAGGGTACCAGTACCCCTGGAGAATCCCTCGCTGAGCATCCACGACCATGTTATTCCAATCCTGAGCGTGGGTGCTCAGGCTGCCCCGCGTATTCTAGGGGGGGCAAAATTCCGCTCAAAAACAAAACTGCTCGGGGCAAGCTGAGCAACAATACCAAGGCGACCCCTGCCACGCTATCCGTGAATTTCTGCAACATCAGGGGACTTCACTCTAACCTAAACGCCGTCCACTACCATCTCGAGACGGCGAAGCCGGCCTTGCTCTTTTTGACCGAGACGCAGGTTTCCTCTCCGACTGATATTTCGTATCTCTCCTACCCGGGGTACAAATTGGAGCACTCCTTTGTGCCTCGGGCTGGAGTTTGCGTGTATGTTAGAGAGGACATCTGTTCTCGACGCCTCGGCAGTCTTGAAGGTTCGGACCTGTCCATCCTTTGGCTACGCGTAGACAGCGACGACCATCCGCGCGTCTACGGGTGCCTCTATAGGTCCCATAGCGGTAATGCCGAAACAGACCGACTCATCGACCACGTCCAAATGGCTACAGATTCCTTGCTACAACAGGTCCCATCCGCAGAGATCGTGATCCTTGGCGATTTTAACGCCCACCATGCCGAATGGCTCGGTTCACGTTTAACCGATCATGCGGGGAGATCTGTTTATGACTTTGCCTTGGCATATGGTCTGACACAACTGGTTACTTCGCCTACGCGGATTCCAGATGTGGAGGATCATACACCTTCCCTGTTGGACCTTCTGCTGACCTCTCATCCGGACGGATATCAGGTTTCCGTCGATGCCCCTCTCGGCTCTTCGGATCATTGTCTGATCCGGAGTATGGTGCCACTCACGCTCCCTTCGCGGTTGCGTTCTGCAGGTTGCCGCCGTGTTTGGCATTACAGGTCGGCGGATTGGGACGGAATGCGGTCTTTCTTTGCATCCTACCCATGGGGGCGGGTTTGCTTCTCGCCGGATGATCCCAGTGCTGTTGCTGACTCTGTCACTGATGTGGTGCTACAGGGAATGGAACTATTTATTCCATCATCTGTGGTACCCATCGGTGGCAGATCTCAGCCTTGGTTTGGTCGCTCCTGTAAGACTGCATTGCGCAGTAAGCAGGAGTGTTATCAAGCCTGGGCTGCGGCTTCGGTGACTCGGGATGTAAACACCAGCACACTTAAAAAGAAGTATAACTTCACCTCCAGGTCCTTCAAAAGAGTTATTGCCAAGGCAAAGTCAGAGCACATAGGCAGAATTGGCGAGAAACTAGTTCGCCTTCCTTCGGGAACCCGTGCATTCTGGTCTCTCGCCAAGGCTGTCCAAGGGAATTTCTGTAAGCCATCACTACCATCTCTGCACAGGGAGGACGACTCACTGGCCCAAGACGCAAAAGACAAAGCCGACCTTTTAGGCTCCCTTTTTGCGTCCAACTCGACTCTTGATGACGGGGGGAAAATACCGCCGACCATCCCGCGGTGTGAGTGCTCCATGCCGGATGTGCTATTCTCACAGCGCTCAATTCGCAAAGCACTTCTCTCCCTGGACATCCAGAAGTCGAGTGGGCCTGACGGAATCCCCCCAATTGTGCTGAGGACGTGTGCTCCGGAGTTGGCACCGGTCCTAACGCGTCTTTTCCGGTACTCCTACTCCCAAGGCGTAGTCCCGAATTCATGGAAGACAGCTTTTGTCCACCCGATCCCTAAAAAAGGCGACCGCTCAGACCCGTCCAACTATAGGCCTATCGCGATCACCTCCTTGTTCTCCAAAATAATGGAATCCATTATTAACTGCCAGCTCATCCGGTACCTTGAGGATCACCAGCTGATTAGTGACCGCCAATACGGTTTTCGTCGGTGTCGATCAGCTGGTGATCTTCTGGTCTACCTGACCCATAGATGGGCGAAGGCAGTAGAGTCCAAGGGGGAGGCGTTAACCGTTAGTCTGGACATTGCGAAGGCCTTTGATCGGGTTTGGCACAAAGCGCTTCTTTCGAAGCTGCCTTCCTATGGGCTTCCCGAGAAATTGTGCAATTGGATCACCAGCTTTCTTGCAGATCGGAGCATCAAGGTCGTTGTAGACGGTGCATGTTCTGACTACAAGCCTATTAACGCTGGTGTTCCACAAGGCTGTGTGCTATCACCAACGCTGTTTCTTCTGCATATCAATGATATGTTGCTAACTGGTAACATTCATTGCTATGCGGATGACAGCACTGGTGATGCTCTATACACCGGCCGGGCCAATATTTCTCGGGAAAACGTCGCCGAGTACCGGAACAAACTTGTGTCTGAAGTCGAGTCTTTGCTGGACAAAGTCTCGGATTGGGGGCGACTAAATCTAGTCCAGTTTAATCCTCAGAAGACACAAGTTTGCGCGTTTACCGCTAAAAAGAACCCCTTTGTCGTATCTCCTCAGTTTCAAGGCACTCCCCTTCTTGCCTCAGCCAGTATCGGTATCCTCGGAGTCGACATATCGAGTGACGTGCAGTTTCGTGGTCACTTGGAAGAGAAGGCCAAATTGGCCTCTAAAAAGCTTGGCGTGCTCAGCAGAGCGGGACAGTATTTCATGCCGGCACACCGCCTGCAACTTTACAAGGCGCAGGTTCGGCCTCACATGGAATACTGTTCCCATCTCTGGGCAGGGGCTCCCCAGTGCCAGCTCCTTCCACTTGACCGCATCCAGCGCAGAGCGGCTCGAATCGTCGACGACCGAGCCCTTTCCGATCGGCTCGATTCATTGGCACTGCGAAGAGATGTTGCATCTCTTTGCATTTTCTTTCGCATCTACCATGGGAGTGCTCTGAGGAATTGTTCGGATTAATCCCAGCCGCCAAATTTCACGAACGCACATCGCGGCAGAACTCCCGATACCATCCACACCATCTGGATGATTGGCGGTCCACCACTGTGCGATTTAGAAGATGTTTTCTTCCTCGCACAACTTCCTTGTGGAATAGTTTACCACCAGGCATTTTTCCGGACCGATACGACTTAGGGATCTTCAAGAAAAGAGCCTACTCCTTTTTAAAAGGCCGGCAACGCATCTGCAATTCCCCTGGTGTTGCGGTTGTTCATGGGCGGCGGTAGTCACTTACCATCAGGTGAGCCGCATGCTCGTTTGCCCCCTCTCCTATAAAAAAAAAAAAAAAAAAAACCTGATGGTAAGTGGTTGTTGAGACTATCCTCGTCTATCCTCGTTTGCGAATCAAAGTGCAGATGCGTTCTCACCCCTGAGGACTAAAATGGAATGCCTCGTTTCCAGTAAAAAAGGTCTCCGGTTTTTACACTCACCATACGAAACACAGCAGCATTAAGCTGCTATTTTACGCTGGTATTCTGTGAGAGCGTGTTACTTCCCCATTCGAGCCGACCCATTCGTGCTACAACTATACTATTAATATAGCTGCAGCATGGCTCTACCACGTATATAATACACACGTAATTTTACAGAGGCGAACAAATAAACGACTTTAATTTACTAGGTAGGATTTCTTAAGAGTCCGTCTGGGTGGGTACCGCCGTATTTACATACTTATTTCTGCCACCAAATGGCATTGCTTGCACTGCTTTGTGCTGGTCTGAAGAGTGTAGAGAGACAGTGTAATTACACGCTGTGAGGCATTCCATCTTGGTGCTCAGAGGTGACAACGTATCTGAAGTATCCTTGCTCGTTTGTCGCCCATATTCTATAAAAAAAGTGCTCCCAACAACAACCGGCATGGGTATGACATGGACGTTACACATGATCTTTGTTTTGTCCATGTTCATCTTAAGACCTATCCGCTGGGAGACACTATTGAGGTCATTAAACAGTGTTGAAGTCGTCCAGCTATTCTGCCGTAAGGACTATCATCATTCATCATTACAGCCTTTCATAAGTCCACTGCTGAACATAGGCCTCCCCCAAGGAGTGCCACAAAGCACGGTTCTGAGCCACCTGCATCCATCGACTTCCTGCATGTCTTACCAGCTCGTCACTCCATCTCGTGGGGGGTCGTCCTACACTTCACCTACCGGTACGAGGCTGCCACTCAATAACCTTTCTTCCCCATCGGTTGTCGGTTCTTCGAGCTATATGGCCGGCCCACTGCCACTTCAGCTTACTAATCCGTTGGGCTATGTCGGTTACTCTGGTTCTACTGCGGATATACTCATTTCTAAGTTTATCAGGCAGAGAAACCCCGAGCATAGCCCTCTCCATAGCTCGCTGAGCGACCTTGAGCTTCCTCATACGGCCAGCAGTGAAGGACCACGTCTCAGATTCGTACGTCATCACTGGCAACACGCACTGGTTGTACAATTTCGTTTTAAGGTTTTGAGGTATGTTTGACGAGAAGATGTGTCGTAGTTTCCCTAACGCTGCCCAGCCGAGTTGAATCCGTCGATTGACCTCTCGGTCCAAGTTGGACTTACCTAGTCGGACTATTTGTCCCAGGTAAACATACTCGTCAACAACTTCGAGCTTAGTGCTCCCAACAACTACCAAGGACTATATCGTCGGCAAATCGAAATTGAGTGATGTAATCGCCATTGATGTTAATATCGTATCCTTTCCAGTCCAGTAGCTTGAAAACGTCTTGCAATGAAGCGGTGAAGTTTTGAGAATATAACGTCACCCTGTCTTAATCTGTAACAGTGTAGGTAACAATTTGGATTACAGAAATTAAAAAACTGTATCTGGAAATTATACTTTCTGGCATTATAATGAACAATAAAAAAATAGTAGGTGAAAAAAGATTTTAATTACATCTTATGTTTTGTTTCAGGTAATATCATATTTTTATATGCATAAAAAGGGTCTGTGATAAAATTTCAAATGTGCGTGGTGCCAATAATGATAATGTTATTAACTATTCGTATTTTATGTGAACGTATACTTAATAAAATGGAATATAAATAAAACATTGTTTGTGATTTCACTTTTATTAGAAGACGTCACACTCTTATTAAAAGTTGAAAAAATAGACGACAATACATTTGGTTCTACTATCTTTAACATAGGACTAATCTACATCGTAATATATATCACAATGCTTCGTGATAAGCATTTGTAAATAATAATATAATATTACACCAATTGATTATATACTTACATTTCTATTTAAGTGTAAAATATAAATTTATATATATAGTATTAGTCTAACATATATATACCATAAAATTAAATGCTCTGACTCGAAAGGAAAGTTTTCCTCGATCAAGAAATAGTAATACCCCCTTATAACTTAAATACAGAATAACGGAAACATAAACGTGGGAACCTTTTGCCACAAGAAATCTTACTTTTAAAATATATTTATCGGATGACTTTTCACTGTCCGAAAATAATATTATGGTGTGTTGTGTAAGTAGAATAAGCTATCATCCATAGTTTTTTTAACTAGGACCATTGGAAAAGAAAAACCATCGGAATATCCAAAAAATACATGAAAACAATTCGTACTACGGCACTTGCGTAAAACCACAGAATAAATAAATATGGTAAAACTAAAATTAATGTGGTAGTAAACGGCGTGGGCTTCGATCGTGCATGAATGAGAATTTGTAAACGCGAGCAAGATGCGTGCATGTCTTTCGTTACGCATTTGTCGACTACCAGGCGACGGTGTGAGGGCGGGCTATACGTTTTACGCTGCCAAAATTTTAGAATTACCTATGCTTATCCCAGAAACAAGCAAGTTTACATAATATAACATACGGACTTTTCTGAACGTTTTCCAATTAATATTTTCGTGATTTCGATCTTCTCTTCACACTGTAGTTCATTAAAGATCATGTCAAATTTTAATTTGTTTCATAATTCATTGTTTAAAAGTTAAAAGTTTAGTCAAAAACGGTTATTTAAAAGATCGAAATCAACTTATTTACAAATTACACGGATCACTATTTACAAAATCACAGTATATTTACATAAAAATGTACCTTTTCAGCGATATCGCAGAATTATTCAAAATTTCCACAGTTCCTTTTTAAAAGCAAACTAGTAGGTTGTAGTAGAAAATCATCACTTTTTATCACATTAAATCTGTTCGTCTGTTCTTCTTCCGTGCGCTATTTTATATCAGTTAAAACTTTGTGCTGCTATATATGTACTAACGAAAAGTTCGACGGCAGGTGCGGTGTAACGGATTTTTTGTTTGTTTGAAGATATGTCTTGCACAGGGTACATTTATCAAACATCATATGGTGGTAAATAGTAGTAATACACATAGACGCTGGTAAAACGTATCAGGTGCTTACTTTGAAGCGTATTTTGACGCATATGTAACTTTGTATATATTTGCAGACGGTGTCTTAAAATGTATAACCTTAGTAACATATAGCTAAGTAAATCGTACGTACCGACGTAATTTATGACTTAGGGTTAGCAGTTAGCAGGTCACACCGAGACGCGACGCGGCGCGAACTTTTTAAGATATTGATAAAAATATAACTTTATTTACTACACAAAAAAGTACATATTTTATTAAGATAATCGAAAATGCCTCGTGGCGTTGCGCTACATCGCGCTGCGCCTCGAGATGCCTCGGGGCGTAGCGTGACACAACGCGGTGCGCTCCCAGCGGCTTCACGATGCACGTCGCGACGTCGCAACGTCGCAGTGCTACTGGCCTCTTCAAGCACCGTCGCGTCGCGTCTCGGTGTGAACTGACCCTTAGGGTGCTGTTCCACTAGAGATGTGCTATGCTACGTTGTTATGGATGCGTTTGATACCCACCAATCATATTCGTTGGTCCATATAGCTTAGCACTGGTGGAAACAGTTTCAACTAAGCTATGTTTTTTAAATGGATGGATGTGTGCTCTGGATGCCTGATATTGATGATCACGAGTGTTGTAGATATGTGCAGAGCAAAGCTCCCCGTGCTTTCCCTACTGTCGAGACATCGCATAGCTCGAGTTGCGCATCTTCCTCGCACAGCTACAGTACGGCGGTTCATCTTCATAGCACTTCTTACTCGTCCCGCTCCATAGCTTAGCATCAGTGGAAACAGTCACATAGTTCCATAGCTCAGCTTTTTAATCCTCGCAGCATAGCTGCATAGCACATATTTGGTGGAAAAGCACCCTTACGGTTTAGTTCGTATTCCCAAGTATTAAGTCCGGGGTATTATTTAATTAACCTATGTAAAAATTATAAAAGCTTCAATTAACGTCCGCAATCACGGAAACAAAAATATAATACTACGTACTAAATACTTCATAATTACTAAGCATTAAAAATAAAATTTTTAAGCCAATTGCAATTAATATTTAAAAAAAGAACAAGTTTTAACAAACTTGTAAAGTATTCGATAAAAATTAAAGCTTTCATATTTTATTTTTATATATATAACAGATCACACAACACATGATGGCGAGGCATAATAAAAAAATATTTAATAAAATATACATGAATTAGGATTTGTCCTTTTAAACACTCTCGGCAGCGTAGTTTTAAGCCGCCTCCACATGCTTGGGACAAACCACGGCAAACAGCGAAACCAAACAACTAACACGAGCGTGTGGATGGTTGTTTGCCTGTTTTTGTTTGTGATTGCCAGTGATCGGCGTCGGTGTCGGTTTTTATAAACAAATCAAAGGATGTTCGACAAACGTGTTTGCGATGTATCCAAATCAGCGTTGCGATCGATACGGCAATTGCCGTAATATACGGCATTCCACGATTTTTTTAAAGATTATACGGCATACGGCAGGCTTTTCATTGCCGTATCAAGTATTACGGCAATTCAGCTTTGCGATAAACCACGATGGCAAATTATGAACAAAAACATAAATACCTGTTTCGATATCGATATTTTTTCACTTCCGTCATCCCATAAGTGATAATAAAGAGCATGAAGGTTAGAGAAAAGGAGAACGATCGCCGTAGAAAATAGTGTCCCAGAAATATGGACAACATTAGTGAGGCCGTGAGGCGCTGCGATCACTAAGTGTAGTCAATAAAAGTCATTTTCAGTCCATTTTTCCGATCAAATGCTCAACCACTTGCACATACACGCACAATAACATATTTCTCCATTTTTAATGTTTCTTTCTGTCAAAAGTTACAAACTTACGGAGCATGAAAATTTTCTACGAAAAAATTAAATGAAAATTTGTACATTATTCAACTAACTTCACCTACTTGTACTCATAAACGGCTAACTTCGCAGTCACTACTTTTCTTTACCGCCGCCCGCTCGGGACTCGGTGGCTGTCGTTTTCGTTTTCCTGTTCTCTAACCTTCATGATAAAGAGTGTGGTTGTCTATGACTGGTTGTTTATGAGTAGTTGTCTATGACGGGGGATTACCGTTCCATCTTTCCTTTTATGAGACTGACAAAGATAGCATGATACATGGTTGACATTGATAGAAGTAATGAATGAAAGAGATATACATATTTACTTTGTTTATATTATCGAATGAATGTACAACATTATGAACTATGAGATGTGTACTGTACTTGTGTAGTATTTACTCATTTTACTCTGCTCTGGCAGTAAATTTAATTTGGATCTCCCATGCGCACGGTCGTGCTTCATGAATTTTCATTTTAATCGTTACGAGGAGGTATTAGTGAAAGTATTACTTTATAGTTTATTGTTCTGATTTGATTTGATCTACTCTTACAAGATGAGTGACACAGAAGGAGAAGGCCCTTCTACGCCAAAGAAAATTAGAAAGGGTAAACATATCAAACAAAAATATCGACAGCAGTGGGAGAATGAAGAATTTTTCAAAGACTGGATTGCTCCTGTTGATGATGATCCGTATAGAGCGAAGTGTACTAAGTGCGATGTGAAATTATCATGTGAACTTTCAACTCTGCGACGGCATGTCACAAATAGTAAGCATAAAAACAGACAAATGGCTGCACTTTCTACAAAAAGTTTAAGCTCTTACTACAAATCACGTGAAAAGGACAAAGACGTCTTAGTTATTGAGGCTGAAATTAAACTTGCGGGATTCGTGACTGAACATAATATATCATTTCTGGCAATAGATCATTTGTCGGATGTATTGAAATCTTGCTTCCCCGATTCAAAAATAGCGGCTGATTTATCTATGAAAAGAGACAAATGTACAGCTGTGAAAAATGTGATTGGTGAAAGTCAGAAAGTGTACTTAGAGAATATTTTGAAACACCAGAAATTCAGTGTAATGGCTGACGAGTCTACGGACATTGCATCCTGCAAAACAATATGCATTGTTGTTAGGTATTTTGATAAAAAGTATAAGAAAATTATAACATGCTTATGGCAATTAGAGCCTCTGCACGCGAAAAGTGTTACAGGAGAAACGTCGTCACGAGGATGTACTGCTGAATCACTTTACTTAACCATTATTGAAACATTCACTCAGCGTAATGTGCCCTTAGAAAATATTATCGGTTTCGCGTCAGACGGCTGTAATGTGATGATGGGTGCTCAGAACTCAGTCACCAGTCGATTACGATCTGCTTTACCTGGTATACAAATAATAAAGTGCATCTGTCATTCCATGCATCTGTGCGCAAATGAAACATGTAAAGAAATACCACGACGTTGTGAAGATTTGGCGCGAAATGTGTATGCATTTTTCAAACATAGTGCCAAAAGGCAAGCAGAGTATGTTGAATTTCAAATTTTTATGAATACAAAAGTGCATAAATTGCTACACCCATCTCAAACGCGATGGTTATCGCTACTATCTGTTGTAAATAGATTGTTAGAGCAATGGGATAGTTTGAAATTATTTTTTGCTCAGAAATGGCTTGAGGAACGCACCGTAGCTGCAGAGCTGATTTTTCGCGAATTACATGACGATTTCGTAAAACTATATATTTTGTTTTTACAATGGATATTGCCTAAATTTGTAAAACTCAATGAGTATTTTCAAGGATCGGATGCCAGATTGGTAGAACTCGACGAT